GGTCAAATCGATACATTTATTCGCACCAGTTGACGTATGCAAAGTTGACACAATGCGGACAGCAGCACCAGTGTTTGGCTTCTCTCCGCGTTTATCCACTTCTTTTCGTTCTTCGTCCTATCACGGCCTTGTTACCCCGAACTGCTGCATATATATCGTGCAGCAGCAAAAAAAGAGAAATAGATATTCATTAGGTGCGGCAATGGATGGAGTTTTTCGGAATGTGCGCGTACCAGTTTGGGCTTACGGGTGTACTGTTGCTCTCTTTTCAGCCCATATACGCGCACAATATATATTAATTTAAACGTCTTCATTGTCGAGGCTAAAAGCTCTCTAGCACTTACACTGAGGCACGCGAACAATGAGTTAGGCTGTGAAAAATACCGTCGCGCGCGCAGCATCACTTGTACCATTATACGTACGGCATCTTCCTCTCTCGGTCTCTCTCTGTATCTTCAGGCAAGACGAATCATCTCAACGACAATATTTTTCACGCGTTACAAATGGGATGGCACGCACAATATTATAATAAGTATATTCATAATGTACATGCTATACGCACAGCTCGTACAGAGCACCGTATCCATACATACTCCACTAAAAGCTTCGTGTTATATATTATACACACACGTACACGCGTTTAAGTAGTTAGTTATGCGTTACACGTACGTACATATACGCGAGGGGTTAGCTGCTTATACTCAGGCACCAGCAACTTTATATGTGTAATGTATATAGCTCGCATGCACGTATATGCACGAATGTCAAAATAATACTGGATCGACGAGGCACAGGTTCCACCACGATGATGAGATATGCGCATAGCCTCAGCACACAATGAGCGGCCCGGAGAGTATCATATCCGTTTATTAACATAACACACGAACGCTTACTCCTTTGGTCAGCGAGTGTCAATCAAATAATAAATAAAAAAGATGAAGAAGAAGGTGCGAAAAAAGGGCTAGATATATAGTGCCTGTCCTGACTCGGCTCTGGTCACTTTCTAGTTCACTTGAGTCAATTGAAAAGTAAAGCAGAGACACGCAGAGAAAAAAAGAGTTCTCCGCTGCCTAAGGTGGCTTCGCAGTGCAGTAAGTAAAACGTTTTTACCCGAAATATCTCACAACCCTTTATTGTCGCGAAGGTGCGTTTTGATTTTCATTATAATTAAATTTTTGCATAATTTCAATGTAACGTGCAAGGCGATCGTGTTTCTTCTTCTCTTCTGCAAAGTCCAATACAACAATGTGCATACTGCGAAGACGGTTTTTTGTCACGTTTATAAGCTCATATAGATACCCGAACGTCACGAATCGATGAGTCTCTGGGTGATCTCCTTATAAGAAAGAAAAAAAATCCCACAAGCACATAATGCAAACTAAAGAAGACTTAGAATATGCGAAAAGACTCGCGCGATTGTACGTGTTTCCTGCCGATTATATATTCGACATTCAAATTTAGAAAAATCTTCGACGACCTATAGTACAGTAACCCTGCACTGTATGCTCTGTATATGTACGCATGGGAACCTGGCGAAATTTTGCGTTTTCAGTTACAGGCGCGCGCGTAAGTGACAATTATAATTGGGCCTCGCGTGAACGCCCAAGTCGGGTGGACATTGTCCGAAATCCATGCGTGGACTTGGCGCTTCTTTTTCGGTTATACGAATCGCGCTGCGGCAACACAATGCGCTGCCTAATCGTAGTTTCGGATGACCACAGTGTGTGTATTTGGGATTCAACCACTCCCAATGCGGTGGTCCCTTGTACATAATATACAAAAGTAATAACAAGCTTTTGCACACAGACAACGGTCCGGGGTGGTGGTGTGTCCGTCGCACGCTGCCGCCAATGCGCTCAGTCGTTATCACATGAATACGCTCGTATGTACTTTTTCTCCCGAATCTCATCCCTCGATGCTTTTACTCCGATGTCTGGCAGTGAAAAAATCGTGAGCACAGCCACAATCGGAAGATTTGTACAATTTTTCGTACGTATAATATATTAGCTCGTCATCGCAGTAACACGCGGTTTTTTCCAGGCAATTAAGCAAAAACCTTTATATTACGAATATCCCTCCTGATCTTCTCGTCTGTTATGCCGCCGCGATCTGCTGCTACCGCCGCGTGTGCAGACAGACAGAGAGAAAGAGAACGGAACAAACGAGCAGTTCACGACTACGACGGCGGTGGTGGCGGCGGCGGCGGTGGTGGAGGCCGGTCAAGAACGGAGGGGGCGTCTTTTGCAATCACGTGGAAGTAACGACGAGCCAATATGTCACGCAGCGATCGCTTTATACGTAGCTCCGAACACGGCCAGATATTATAAATTTTGCAGCGATTATTTTGAAAACTCGCACATGTATGACATGTGTGTCCGTACGCGATATATCTCGTACGTCACGATTTGTCTGTCTCGCTGTCTGTGTTGCGCGCGCTGCATTCTCGCTATCTGTTTATCACGCGGATGATTAACAGCCGCAGTTACGCAAGCGGCAATGACAATATTGTTTTTTTTTTTCGGCGCGCTCGCAATAAGATAATACGGAAGTTTTGTGGGCTTGCGCGGGATCGCCAGCCGTACGATACTATGACGCGCAAGTGCACGATTTATGTATTAAAAAAAAGCAAATTATCTGCGACGACGAAACGGTATTAAATAAACGAGCTTGAGGCCGATTCGATGCTGGATCGCCGCAAAAAAGTCTACCCGAGTATGGCGATACATACACACACGCATACACACACAAGAAATCATCCGGCAAATTGATGTCGTGCGAGGGGTATATAAGAGAGATTCCAAGGGCTTAACGCGCGAGCGAACTAAGCCTAAGATTGGTTTAGCTCAACCGCACGCACGTCGCTCGTTTGATCACGCGTCAACGAGCTAAATTTACCCCGCGTGCGGCAACGGCGAGAGCTACTACTAGATCTCTCTCTCTCTCTCTTTTTCTCTCTTAGTCGCTCACTCGGTCTCGCTCTTAGCACCCCAACACCTTTTTTTCCTACTTGCACGCAACTTGGCTCGTTCGCTGCGTGCCCCATCCGCAGGACAGAGGCCCAAAGGCAGAAGAAAGCAACATCTCTTTCGCTCTCTTTTTTTTCTTTCCTTTTTTTTCAGATTCATACTACCAAGGTGTGCGTGTATTGGGTACAGGTGAGAGAGATATGTATACAGGCAATAATATCATGGTGAGCCTCTCTATTCGTCATAGCGTTATTTTATTCCACTTTTTTTTAACAGCTAGTTCAAGGGTGCGCCCTCTTCGAGGATCGATCTTTATTGCTCGGGCGCGCGTCTCTGTATGCGTTTGTATATGTGTGTTGGATTGGTTACAGCGGTGAGTTGAGCGCGCGATATAAACAAAATATTTTTTGGGGTGAAAAATGCCAATCGAACTTCTCTCGCGCCCCTTGGCAGTCTCTGTCGGGCTCGCTGCTACTGCTTATTATTACGTGTATTTCAAGAGATGTGAGAAAAGGATTAAGTATACATGACACATATATGTTTAAAAAGAGCGAGACAACGTTTCCCATCGATTTATCAGTACCCCATGTGTGTTGAGATACTTTTTGGAATCCGTTAGAACGAAGCAAAAAAAAAACTCGAGAACCCGCAAACTCGTCAGATAATTTCATGAAAAAAAAAAGTGCCGAACGGATTATTCTCGTCGCTATATCATAGGATCGATGATGTTCGTTGCTGCACGCGAGCCGCGTGTGAAATTCGTCGAGCGAATCGCAAGGCACACACGCGTATCTATGCACACACACACACGTAACGAAACACGCGCGCACGTGAAGCGGGGGATTTGATAGATCGTCCGAGAACAGTTTGCTTTAATCGTATCGAGTAATCGGCCAGTTGGCGTTGGCCTTTTTGTCGGACCTTAGCGAGATGGATGAAGCCATTTACATTGTGTCAGTGCGACATGCGCCGCGCAGCGGCAGCAGCAGTGCAGTACCTCCGCTATCATATCTATCACGCATTCATACGGAGTTGCTACTGTACTGCTGCTGCCGTTCCCGGGCTCTCGATCTTCCCTGCTGTTACACATTACGAGTATTAACATTTTTATCTGTAATGGAATCCGTGTATATGTACACGCGTTGCAAAAAGCTGGATGCAAAATCGAGAGAGAAAAAATATCTGAGGGAAGTAGCACTCGACAGAGAGAAAGAGACATTCCGCCCAGACACGTTCTCGGAAGTCGAACAAATGAAAACGTCAAAAGTGTACCTGCTACGGAGCTGATGCTTTGACGAAAGGTGGATGTGCTGCTGTCGAGAGGAGCTACTACTACTACTACTGTCCGGCCATACACAATGCTACGGAATGACCAAAAGCCATCGTCGTGTCTTTATATTTTGCGCTCGGATGCGTTTACGAATTCACACCAGATTTGTCGAGTCTCGCAAGGCACGCAGATCATCGTCTTTACGGAAAATCTTGGCCGAGTGAAACGCATCGCACCTTTTGACGTGCGCTCGAAAGGTGAGAAAAGAAGAGGACACGACACCGAGAACGATATAGCTACACGGGCCGGAACGAACCAGGTGGTCGTCGATGCGCGCTAAATTCATACACATATCCTCCCGGAGAGTTGCGATTCTTACATCTGCTATTGGTGCACAACCAAGTTGTGTTATTATTATCATTATTATATTTATGTACAGCGTACACATAAGTAAACGGATAATAATGCCTCGGCACGGATTAAGCCTTAAAGGATCGCTCGCGACAAAAAAAAGATTCGAATGTGTGTGCGCGCGCGCCTTCGGTATATAGTCGAGGCATGCCGTATCGATCATCTTTCGAAACGGTTTTTGCGAATTTATACAGCCCGAGCGTAATCGCGGGTAATATACTTCAACCCCATATTACACGTACTTCTTTCTCTCTCTTTCTCTCTCTCTCTCTCTCTGTTCATTTTTCTCTCTATAGTTGCGATGACGATCGTAAAAATAGAATATGGAATTAGAAGGAGTACGAGGTACTTACGTCGAATTTGGGATTGGTGCTCCACCAGATGTTGCCGCTGTTGCATCTGGGCAATTCGATAATTTCGCCGGGTCTGATGTCTTTGCGAGCTCGCACGAACGGTCGGCCCGCGGACGAGAGTCTCAGCTCGATGGCCTTCGGCAGCATCTCCTGACTCACCATTTCCTTCGCCACTTGTTGGAACTTTTCGTCTGTCAAAAAAAAGGGACCGTGAATATTATTACATAAGTATTTATATCCATTGCGTTGTACTCGACTTACGCGACAGGCCGAGCAGATATCTGGTCAGCTGGCGAGCGTCGTGATCCTCGGGCAGGATCGCGTTCCCGTCCATCGAGGTGCGCTGCTTCAGCTCGCTCATGAGCAGATTGAAGCAGTCGAGATTGGTAAGTCGCGCGTTGCCGAGCACGTTCTCGAGCACGTTGCTCGGTATGAGCCTGCTGTAGTCGCCGAGTTGGCTTCGCTGCTGCTGTAGTTGCTGTTGAAAAGCGGCGGCGCTGGCCGACGACTGGCTGAGGCTGTCGCCGGCCCCGGCGCCGACGTCGATACCGCCGCCAACGCCACTGCCACCGCCGCCTCCTCCTACGCTGCTCGAGGCCGAGCTCAACGAGCGCAACGAGCCGTTCTCCTCCATTTCGCCGCTCTCGCAGCCACCCCCGACGCTCCTCGCTCCGCCACTAGCTGGCTCGCCCTCGTCGCTGCTTCCTGTGTATTGGCAAGAAAAACAGATTCAATTCGTTGTTGACTGCGCGTGAAATAAACCAGGTCAGTTTAATGCATATTTATATTTAGCTTATAATATAAAGACTGTATTACTTTTTATTATGATACTCAAACAGACGACTCGGGACACGAGAGATAAGTCGCGTACGGTTGCGCTCGAACGACTGTCGTAAAAAAATAGCGTCCGCTCGATACGGACTTTTGATCCTCGGAAGAAGGTCATTCGGCATGAACGGAATTTTCGGCTTCCTATACATAAGCGGTATAACCGAGATATCGTCAAATAATGTATTTGTCAGAGCCGATGCGTGAGATGCTCTCGAGCCTTTTATGTTTATAGTGCGAGTCGGGACCGTGCATCGTATGATGTAATAATAAAGAGAGTCTTCGAAAAATCAAACTAGCGTGTATCATCTCCCGTCGTAAACAGTGGGTCGCCGCACATGCCTCTCGGATAACATTTCGACTGCGCGCGGGGTGCGATCGGATCTCGCGCGACGTTCGAGTTCCTATCCCATTGTGCGCGCAGCGAGAGAAGAAGATTAGCACGCGCGCGGTGCGTTCGACAGATCATCGGCGTGTTTTTATATGTAATAAACACTTGACAACTTGATAACCTGTTGAAAAGGGAAAAACCGAGAATCATTGGGGGGACAATGAAAGGCGCGCGGTGGAGTATTCGTGTAAATACTGGGTTTGACTCGTTCTCGAAGAATTCATTTTCGTCTGGAGATTTTAAAACACTAAGCTTTGATCGATCAGATTCTTGAAGGTCAATGAAATGTTTTGTTGTGCTTCAAAACAGAACTAAAACTATATCTCACAGAATCGAAAATTGGATCTAAATAAAAATACGTAGCCGCAGTTGGGTAACAATCATTTTTGAATAGCAAAATCAAATTGATATATAATTACGCGCTTGCTCTTCATCGTTACCGTAAGACACAAAACAAGTGTCATTATTTCGTCGCAAATAAAAAGTAAAAGAAATATATATCCGGTCCTTTAACAGATTTTATCATTGTAAAAATGTGTCGCCTGCGTTGACGTGCATCAAAAAACGTCGTCGCGCGACCCCGCGATAAAAATCGCATCGAACTCGAGCGCAGACAGATAATGTACATTGCGATCATCGATATGTATATTATTGTAATGCGCCACGACGTTTCGTTACACAAAGCAAGAGGAAGATTAATTAATCGTCGGCCTTGTAATCGGCGCGATGGATCGGCCGCGATTGCGGCTACGTCTGCCGCTCAGACAGAGTATGTAATGATGTATACTAATTGCGCACGTCTCGTTTTATTATATACACACACACAAATTGCATTACGAACGAGTGGGCGCGATCACTCACCGCAGCTCTTGTAATCCAGCGTCGTGCTGGACAGATCCAGACACTCGGCGTTATCGTCGCTCATCGTTGATTCGTTGTACTTTTCGAGGCGATGAAAACAGGCACCATGAACGAAATACAACGGGGACAAAAGAAACGAAACAACAACATACAAAAAAACAACAGAAAACTGTATCACTTCATAACTGCTCTCTTTTTCCACAATGAATCATCACAATGAGATTGTTGTTGGCGAAAATGTTGGTGACTATCGCTGCGTGTTTTGGATCACGGGTCATTCACTGTACATCATGTTTAACGGAAAAGCACCACTGCACAATATACAACAATATCGATCGATCTATCTATCTATATGTATAAAATGTCACACACCAGTCGCTGCGGCATACACATAGGATCTATATTTACTTTATATCGGGCACAAACACAGACGCGTGCGCTCGCGCGTGATCCTCGAGCTTCGAGAGCGAACTAGCGCCGAGCGAGAGAAAATCTCGGGGCTTTGGCTGCGCCGCGCGTATACATACAGAAGATGGCACGCTCACGCACGCACACACACATACACGGAGACTACTAGCGTGTACGGCAGCACAGTACAGCGCGCGCGCATCTCTGTATATCGTGCCGTGCAGCAGCAGGGATTTCTGCTTTCGTATCCCCGAGTCTGCGTGTGTGTGTGTGTGCTCTCGTATACGAATGTGCACGCGTGTGAGTGCGCAGTAAGCAAAGTCGGTGCGGGGTGTGGCGATGGATCTGGTTGGCCCGCGGGCGGAGCAGTCACCCCTATCAAACGGCCGCTCTTCTGCCGCGCCGCTTCTCTCTCTCGCTTACTCTCTCTCTCTTCTCTCCCGTGCATCCCCCCACTACTACTGCTGTAGCTGCTGCTGTGGCTGCTACTGTACGGCTCCGGTGCTGCGCGAGGAGCCGCCGAGAGAAGAGAAAGAAGAGAGAGAAGAGCGAGAGAGAGAGAGAGAGAAAGTCTCGGGCCAGACTGCGTGCTGCCACTGTCTTGCTCCGCCACAGCCACAGCGGCGGCAGCTCGCAGCATCCCCCGTACACGCATACATTGAGAGACGTTTCCACGCGAGAGCCGCGTCTACGGAGGAAAGAGGCAGTAGGAGAGAAGTTAGATAAGGATTCCTGCGCATGAAGCAAAAACGCGATCGGCACTGAGTCTCGTCTGTGTGCTCTATACGTCCTTGAGATATGTATATGCCTGACTCATGATGGCTGCGAACGAAAGAATTAATTTCCGAGTAGTAACAGCAGAGTCTCGAATGCGGAGTGCGCGACTACTTCTGTGTCGATGTTCTCGGAAGTATAATCCGTGTGAAGCGGGTGCTGATCGTAACTTCACGCACAAATGATTACTAATAGATTATGATCGCAACTATTAAGAAGAGAAAATATTTTTATTTCATTTACAGTCGCGTGGATGATTCTTCATCGCTACCCGTCTTCGAGTGCGGCTTTCCTTTGAGAATAGTCATTAACGCTTGGATTTTTATTGATCCGCGCACTTTTTCCGAGATTAGCTGCCCTCTTATGGCTTCTCATGAATCAAGAGCCACGAGCGATCGCTCGAGTGGCTTTAAATTTTTATGATTTGAGAACTTGATTTCGGGTTTATGGAAATTAACGAGCTCTCCGCGCAGGCCCGACCGCATTGCGTGCTCAACGTGTAACCTACATACTGAAATGTACGCATATAAAGTCATCATCGAAACAGATGATTGCCGCGCGTGAAACTCAAGACTTTTCTGCGATTCAACAATGAGATTTATTTTTTCTCCCCTCGCGAACCTGCCTTGAAACCTGCCTGACCTCTAGAAACGCGTGTAAATACGTATGAAGCGAGAAAAGTTTGACGACAAACGGCAGAGAGTGAGAAGAAGCCACGACTGCCACGCGCTGACACATTTTTTCCTTCTTTTCTTTTTCATCGCCTGAATTGCCCATGCGACTTGTTGTTGTCGTCATAAGAAACGAGTATAGGCGTCGATGACGATGATGGTATTTTGTATGCGTACCTTGTTGTAATACGAATGGGCGCGAGGGTAGAAAAGCCTGAAATAAGGAAAAGACCCCACGTAGAGTCAGCCGCAAATACTCTCGGTCAGCGAGAGCAGAGACCCCCTCGCGATCGGACACTTGGAGCCGCGCGTCAAGTGGCCTGAGATTTTGGTGACTTTTTGTGGTTTCCCTCGTGGTTTTCTTCGACGTAACGTTTTTCCTTGTATATAATACATACATTTCGAGAGATTCGTGGTGCACAAACTAGACTGACGTCAAGATTCAGATGCAGAGAAAGAGAGAGACTTGTTACTGATGCTGTAACCGTTTTTAATGCAGATTATGTTGCAAAACTGGAAAAAAGCAGCTGCTTCGTTATTACATTGTACGTCTTAATTTTTAACGGTCGCGCTCGGTAAAGATTCGTTTTTTTCCTAGATCGAGGATGAAATAGAGAAAAAAAATTCGTTTCCAAGCCGGATTCGCTGCAGTTTGACGTACACGCATTTTGAAAGCAGCGATAAAGAGTGAGATTACCAATGACACTTTGCGCTCCTCGATTACAATATCATCATTATTGTCAATAAAATAATATCCGTTATCTGACAGACGAAAAATCGTCACGCGTATGTGCAAACATATATCACTGCTCGTCTGTACAAATGCGTTTGACTCGCGAAAAAAAAGTAATTCACGAATTCCACGTGTCTCGTGTAAGCGCGTTATGTATCCCGAAATAATAACAATATAATGTACGCGTTGTATTATAAAACGAGAGAGAAAACGAATAATATACGATAGCAATATAAGACACGGACTTTGCGGTACGTTTGATAATAATACACGGTAACAGCGCGAAACGAAACAAATCTTTGTCGTCGCGTCGACGTAGACGTCGTTGATGCGATACGGTGTTGGCGGAAAAGACGACGACTACGACGAAGAAGAAGACGACAACGAGTGCAGGAGGAAAAAAAACATGTGTCGCGTGGTTCGTACGAGCGCGTATACGTACGAGCGCATGAGTTTTATATTGTACTTTATAGCCCGAACACCCTATCATCGCCTCCAGGCTATATTTGCTAGTATGATTTACAGCTAGCGTTAAATAAGCCAATATCACCCTTTCTCATTTTGTCCGTATGCGTATATTTATTATGTCGCTACGCGCAAGAGGAAAAAAAGAAAAGAGAGAGACGAAAAAAATCTCCTACTTTTTTGTTCCTCTGCTTGGGTACGTGCGCGCGCGATAGTCACCCATTCACACGTGTCCCGGCACTCGTGCTGCATAATATAGCATACTATAAGTCGATCATTCGATCGATTTGAATAGTCAAATCGGCTCTCTCCTCTCTATATGTACGCGCTTTATTATACGCATGCTAACGCACGCGTACACATATATAGAGGCAGGAGAGAGCAAATATATATAGCACGCGATAGAGTTGAATGAAAAATTCGCTCGTGGGTAGGGGCTCGCTCGCGTGTGCGTGTATATGCATATGCTCGCTCGTGTGCCTATATACCAGTACACATAGTTTGAGGTAGTACATTTAAATAGATTGAACGAGAGAGAGAGAGGCTGGCGCGAGCCTCGCAGGTAAATTTAAAG